ATAACAACCTAACAGAGCTCCATTTCTAGACTCGAATCCACCCACCCCAAAAACACTTTAGAGGCTTATCTCATCGCAATGAGACCTCTAAGGACACTTTAGCATGTAGCACGCACACAATTAGCATTTACCTTAGCCTTTACTTTAGCCCTATTACAATGTGGCATGAACCCCAATCCAGCATTAGCATTAACATTAGCCTTAGCCTTTAGCTAACTGCGGCCTACCACACCAAATAAGCATCCGCACTGCCCTTTTTCTTTTGACATATTTTCCTACCGTTTTTGGCTACCGTGGTTTAATGACAATTCACCGAGAAATCACACCCATCAGACCCCCCGTCGACGAAATTTCCGAGCAATAATCACAAATCAGATAATTCCATAAACCCGAGTTTTTTCTTTAAAACACACCGACTTCACATTCTATCGTGCAAGCGATTTGTCGCCCATTTCTAAAATGGCCCCCCTGGGGTCTTAAGCGGTACAGTGCTCTAATGTATGCATATCTGCCTTAATTGTACACCTCAATACTTAATTCCTACCGTTTTATTGCTCTAAAATTCCAATTATCTGCCGTTTACCATTGGAATCACATTTTAGAATATTATTACAGACTCCTAGTCGACCGCAATACCCCACATCAAACAACGACCCAAGTACTTTTAACTGTACACCTTCAATGCCCTCTCATGAATCAGCGGAATAACTAATGCCCAAATTTTGTGATGTACATCTCACCTTTAAAGCCGGCTTGGGCCAGTAGTCAACTCGCGACTCAGGAAGGGAACCAAGAACCGATGCAATCAGAATCTCAGCAGTGCCTCCATTTTGGTGGTATCGCGTCGAATGCTGGTGGTTATTGCTGTCACAAAGAGTCCGGCTTAGGCCTGCACCGTGATTAGAGGCTTTTATTAATATCACACGTTTACAGCATAAGTTACAGACCCGCGGTGTCTGGAGAAGCACCTTCCCAAATTAATCTGAATGCTTCTGACTCTTCTTCGTTTTTTCCCCCAGTATATATAATCTCCCCAAGATGTGGGTGGCTCCCTCTACGTCCAATCCCCTGTCTACAACACACTTCCTGTCTGTTGTATGTGGCGTTACACTAAAACATTCCCTCTTGATACTAAAATCAACGTCCCTTATCCGGTTCACACTTAAAACATAACAACGTCAAATCTTCATATACGATATCTGCTTTATTGTGTAGTTTGTTATGAAATATATAACACATTAATGCAATGTAAATTTGCAATATAGCGTAATGTGGGCTCTGTATGTTAACAATTTCATGTTAAACAGTCAATACAAGTATTTACTGTACACTGTATTGTGAAGTGTGGAGCCAAAAGTTAAAGAAGCTGGAGTGGTTTATTGTTTTTAATGATGTAAAAAACAGAATGATTCATTAAGATTGACATCTATTTATCCATGAAAGTCTGTTGTTCTTTGTCTCAAGTGTGACCAGTAATATGTTGATATGACCTGATGACATTCAGTTAATTCATTTCTACAAAGACTGGGTGTTGGTTCTAAGTGATCAGTGGTGTAGTGGAGGGTATACACAGGTATATGCCGTATACCCACTTATTTTTCAGTGGGCATTGCGTATACTCACTTCTTAAAACCCCCACTGATACCTAGCAAAGTAGTGTATTGGAGGTATACACGTATCAATTAATAGGGCTGATTAACAGATGTGAATGTTTAGCTTAAAATGTTGATAAACTATTATTTCTTCCATTTTAGCGCAGCAATTGTACACTTAAGTGATAATGCCCCTTGAAGCCGATGTTTGAAGGATATATTGGCACGGGTACCAATATATCCTCCAAACACCGGCTCGAGGGCATTATCACGTTTATACAACGGGTTACCAACATATTCAAATAATGATTGACATATTTTCATTAAAAACGTTATTTTATTCATTCATACTATTTCATCCTTTCACAAGATATAGTCCTGACACAAATCTAGGGTTGCTATCCAAGCCGGCTGGTCGTTTGGTTCTATCGGTTCTGGCTGTTAGAGACGCGACCAGTCGTTCAGTCTTTTCGTTCTGTATATATGGACGTGTAGTATCTGAACAGTTTATAATTTTGGCTGACGTTTGCAAATGGTGGATAGATTAACTTTACTCTGCTTTGCGTGAAACATCTGGAAAGCATTACTACAGGGGCCCCCTGAAACAGAGGAGACTTGGATATGTGGAAGCCGGGGATTGGTCTATCAAATCCCCCAAATTTATGTTACATGGATTAAAACCAGGGTTTTGGAACAAAGGACGGGGAAATAATCATTTTGTTTGGGGTTTAGTTGTTCTCCGGTTTTCTGCAGAAATTTTAAAATTGCGCGGAAACCCTTTTGATTAAAAAACCTTTTACAATCAGTACAGTAAAGCGGATTCTTGTCTACCAGCATATCACATCTTGTCCGAAACCACTTAAATTTGGCGACAAGGTTTGGGGACGTGTTGCGTCTTTTCTCATCTTTTTCCATCATGGGCCGCGACTGATCCCGCTCAGGGGCCGGCGATGGGTGAGCTTCTCACAACTTTGGGGCGGGTCATTCGTGGGCTTGTGTGTTGGTTGAGGGGATTCCCGTCAAAGGACTTGTTTTGGGGCCCTTGCTGTTTTTGTGGGGGATGACAACCGGGTCTAATTTCAAAATTTTTTTTGCTTTGAAAACAACCAAACGGGGGGGTGTCTAAGGAATTGATCCGGGGAAACGGATATTTGGCTTGAATACATTTAAAAAGGGGTCCAGGAATAAATGAAGGGAATAAGCAGAAAAAAAGGGAAAAAAGTATACTGGGAACGTCGCTGATCACGGAACCCTCAACGACGTCTTTAAAGATGGCTGTAAATCCTGGAAAGTCCCGGGTTGCTTTCGGGTCGTTGGGGGAACTATAAAGATTGTCATATTTTTTAAATTGCTGTTACCTTTTGGGAAATATATTGACGAAGTTAGCCATGTACCCTTTTTTATACTGCCTAAAGGTGCAAAATTTGGGAAAGGGAATAAGGGAAAAAAAGACGACAAGCATCTTTGAGTATTTATAAGGGTTTCATTCTTGTTTGTTTTGTGTTGTGTGTGAAAGAACCTTCGTGTACATGGGGGGGTCTCTGCTTTTTTTCCATGTGTGTCGACCTGCTATAAAACATTTATTTTTAAGAGTATATCAAAATTATGTTTTGGTTGAAAAAGGGGTTTTAGTTCTTTGAAAGGAAATATTTTCTCCATTTGAGAGAATTTTTTTCCAAATTTTTTTAAAATAATGACCCCCCCCGGGGGGCGTTCGGTTAAACCTTTATTCCCCCTTTGGGAAGAACGTTTTTAAACTTTAAAAAATATTAATTTTTTTTAATTTTTTAATTTTTTTTTAAATTAAAAATAATATATAATGGGGATTATAACAACATAGCTAAAGTTTTTTGGGTTTAAAAATAATTTTTTAAAAAACAAATAAAAAAATTCCCAAAATAAAGGAATAAAAAAGAGTGTTTCCAGGGAAAAAAGGGACTCAAAACTATGAAAGAATTTAAACCCCTTTTTATGTATACCATAGAACCCCTTTTAAAAAAAAAAGGAACAACGTAAAAAAAGACAAAGAAGCGGGGTGTTCTTAAGTTGTTTGAAAAGGGGGGGGGCAAAAACTGATAAAAATACAAAAAAAAAGAGACGGGGTAAAAGAAAAGGGCAAAAAGGGAGAAAACAAAAACTAATGGCAAAGATCCACCTTTCTAAATACGGATTCCAAGAGGCCCCCCCCTTCGGGGAAAAAATAATTTAGGAGTCATCCCACTTCCAAGATCATTCGGAGGTATTATTCTCAAATGAAGATGACGAATAATAAGGAGGACAAGCAAAAACAAACCATAAAAAAAACCCAAAACTCCAAAAGTAGAAGAAAATGACCGTCTGGAAACTAAGGTAGAGGAGGCTCGGAGGAGGGAATTTAAAGTTTATATATGAGATCAATGATTCAAAGAGAAAAGGGGTGGAATGCCCCTAAAATCAGACGGGGTTGGCCAAGCAAAAGGGGGGTGTGGGGTTGGAAGGGAAGATAAAAGGATCCGACTTGAACATCAGATAAACAATAAAATTTGAATTAAGGGCTTCTGTTCAGAGGATTTTATTCTACAATGACTAGCACAAAGAATAGAAAAAATTCGATGCTTTCATCTTGGAAAAAGGCGAATAATTGAAAAGTAAAGAACTGGAAAAACAACTCAAACGCTGAATACAAAAGGGAAAAACGCTGAAAAAAAAAATCTAAAAAAATTGAGGGAAATACATTGGGGCCAAGAAAGGGAACACAAGTAAGAGAGATCCAGTAAAATTCGAGACAAACCGGGATTAAAAGCCTTTGCAAATACGATATTCGAAACTTGGAAGTTTCCTACTCTTCAGATGGACTACCCTTTTGGATTTCAATTGGAAGAAATTACGGGGAACCAGTCTGCCTGGAGCTTAAGAGACTTTGGCAAATCTCCTTGGGATTCCAGGTAGGGAAAATTTTTCAGGGGCTGGATTCATCGTATTGGGACTGGGGTGAAGATCCTGAATTCTACTGAAACAAAACGGCTTTTGGAGCATGAAAAATCGTTCCAACAAATTGCATCCTGAAAAAAATTATTGCCCACTAGGCAACAAGAAAATCCGAGAGCCTATGGTCGACTTCTAAAGTGTGGAGAAATATTACCGAAAATGATCCGAGGGGAGTCAATAGAGCGTCATTTTGCGAGCAAAACTGCAGATGGACTCCCCCTCACCATAAGGACAAACGCAGAGGGGGTTTTGGACTTGAAAG